GTGGGGGGAGACAGTTGCAGTTGCCCTCCTGCTGCAACTCTGTTGCTATTATACGTATAAAAAAAATGGGGAAATAGTTACCATTCCTCGTCGACAAAGCCTAGGTGTATCATAATTTTGTTAAACTATATATATATATAAACACATAAAAATTATAAAAAAAAAAATAAATAAAATAAAAATTATAATTTATATATATTTATAGGATATTTACATTGTCGTTTTCTTAATCCTACAGATTTGGGATAAGACGGCATTTGTGGTTTCCGACATCTTCGATTTCTTAAGAAAAAGAAAAAAGTTATCATTCAACATATCATGAATATATACATTTTAATAAAATTTAATTTTTAATTCTATGGCTTACATGCAAGCTTTTCTTATTAAATTATTTCCACCAAATTTCTTTTTATCTCTGTGATAAAAATAAAATTAAATATAGTGTAAAGTAGAATCTATAGAAAATATCTTATCAGAAAAACATTAAAAAAAATTTTTTTTTTATAATAAAGATATTATCTGAAAGGACTCTTAATAAAGTAAAGCATAAACTAAATATTTTTTTCATGTACAAAAATCAAATAAACATACAAATTTCTGTTGTAAATGATAATAGGGGAGACCAGAGAGAACTGGGATAATTGGGACACTATTATTTTGATGCTTGGCAACACTGAGTCTTCTTTATAGATGTGTTCTTCATTACACAAAACTTAAAAAATATTTATAAGCATTTATTCTAATTGTGTAACACAAGTAACTTTTCTTACATAAAATATTAACATACATAAACCACCTATGCATAAAAATTTTTCATTTATGGTTACTGAAAAACATTGAAAAGTAAACACCATTTCTGTTCTGCCCAGTCTCACTATTTATTAAAAAAAATTAAAAATAAAATGCATAAAAGATAAATTAATTCCTATTTAAATAAGATCAATTTTTATTCACTATTTGCAAAAATTGACTTTTTGTCTCTACACTTCTATATTTGAGAACTTAAATGATTTTTAACAAATACAAATTTTGAATTATTCAACAATACTTGTTCATATTAAATAGACAACTAAGTACAGTACTTTACATAGGAAAAAATCTCTGATTTTAACTATAGAATTTAAACTGTATGATTAATTTTCACATAAATAATATATTAAAAATAAACTTTATTAAATTAAATTTTGTTTAAAAATTGCTCAATATGAAGAACAAAAGCATACATTAGTAGAGTAAAGATATTTCTATAACATCATACATGGACATTCATAGTAACTCTAAAAGATCAAAACTTGGATACATGGAGACATTACTTTTTGATTCCCCTCATAGTATAAATATTAAATAATTATATTATTAACTGAATATTAATTTCTATTCTATCAATATCTCTTGTTGTTTCTTTATTTAACTTTTTTCATATAAATCATTTGTAACTATCACACTTCTTAATTGGGCTACAATTTGAAAAATTGTAACCTATAAATTCCCACTATTGTCATACCATCAGTCTTTCCTTAATCTTGAGAAGAAAGTTAGATAGATGAAATCCAAGACCATATATGGAAATCTTAGGGGCAAGAAGCCCCAATTAACTAAATATGAACTTCCAATGCAAACCAAAAGTCACATTATTTCAATTCAAAACTTTTCCCCTGAAAGCAGTTAATAGATGATCAAAAAGACTCTATTGTTAAAGGAAAAGTATGATGTACAGGGGCAAGCCTCTACTAATAAGTTGAGATGGAGAGCATATTTTTAAATAAAATAAATCCAACATATGATTAAAAATTGAAGCCTGGCATTGTGATGATAATATTTATAATATGTCACAATAATAATTTTATTTCTAATTACATAATACAGTAGTATCATTTAATGAAAAACAGAAATAAAACAATATCAACAAGCAATTATTTATTGTGACATCACAATAATGCTGGTCTATAATTTTTAATCATATTTTTAAGGTTTCCATACCTGATGTCATCTTCTGTCTATCTAAATCTGTTCTTGAGATTAAGGAAAGACAGATGGATGGTTGGATGAATGATAGTGGGAATGTTTGTTAAGCTGCAGTTTGAAAAAATTGTAGACCTATAAGGTCAACAATTTGTTTGCAAAGCAGCTAAACAAAGTATTATGAAAGCTTATATAGAAAGCATAAAGAGATTATTCAAGATAAGATTGAAAAATACTGCAGTTTCGAGATGTGAGAAAAGGTTACAACTAATTGAAAGCAATTCTAGTTTTTTTTTTGGAAATTTAAGAAAATGAACTTTTGAGAACTGATAAAAAGTTATTTATGACAAATGAAAATTATGCAGATTAGCTAGTAGATTGTAAATAAGAAAAACAAAATTTTAATTCTTAGTTACGAAATCTACAAAGAGTATATATAAAAAAATTTTTAATATTAAACAAATTATCTTTATGTCATCTCAAAAAATTTGCAATTTTTTAGGGTAATGTAAATATAATTTTAAATCAATATATTTTTTACATTGTATAATAATGACCTTGTAATCAATTCACTGATAAATTAAAAAGTATGATTAATCTTGTAGATATTGTTATATGTAAAGTGGTCACAATAAAAATATCTATGTGAGTACAAATAAGAATAATCCAAATTAAGAGAAATTTGAATTAAGTTTCTAACTTTTTATTTAATCATAGAAAAAGTTCCGATAAGTAGTGCAGTAGAGATTTTTCATTTGCTGTCAGTAAAAAGTTTACAAAAATGATTTCTGTTAAACTTGAGTTTTTTGCAATCCAAGTTTTGAGAGCAAAGATTAAGTTTGCTTTCTATCCATTTTGATAAACTTTTATTTTTGGATGGGTCCAAACCTTTCTATAAGTCATAATTGTGCAAATTTGGTAGTTTTCTAGTGATAATGGCTATACAGTAAATGATGAGCAATCAGGCCAGATGTTATAACAACGATATTGGTAAATTCTGTTAATAAATGACTTCAATTTAAATTGAATACATTCATCCATGTATGTTTTAATATTCAAAGCAAAATTTTTAGGCACAAAATAAAGTTCTAAGTGACTTTTCTTGCAATAAATACAGTAGAGCATCGATTATCCGACCTCCGATTAACCAACACCTCGGTTAACTGACCGTCCTAGTCGGCAAATTTAAATATCCGCTAGTGATGTGGCGCTACAATATTTGGCTATGTCTTGGCTACTTTAATATTATTTTTACGTGTTTTAGCTGGCAACACCGGATCGACCATGAAAGGGAGCCAATATTTAAACGAGGCTTAATTTTCTAATTTTTAACGATACAATAGCGACGATTATTATTGTTTAAAAAAATTTGATAGGCTTAACATGGAGGAAAATTCAATGTGAAGTAGGTTAATAGCATTAATAATATACTAATTACATGGTATATAATAATATACTACACTAATAATGGATTTTTTCATACTTTTCGGTTATCCGACTTTTCAATTATCCGACCAACCCCAGTCCCCAATTGGGTCGGATAATCGAGGCTCTACTGTATAAGGGCAGTTTATTCTCTGTTGTATTCTCAAGAAAACAATACATACAAGTACAGTACAGTATTTTCTGAG